TGGGGAACAGGGCAAAGAGTTGGTTTGGGGGAAAAATATGGTCAGAAATGAGACAGAGGGTGCTGCATATTTGCTTCCCTTTGTTGAATGCCTTCCCTTTGTTTCCTTCTATCCTCTGTATTGGGGCAGCCCTAACAGGCCTCCTACAGCTCATAGCTCCCTAACTCTATCATAGCCACTCCCTTTTTGATGAAGTATGAGAAATATTATACAGGAGGTTAGACTAGTTGATCATAATAATGGTCCCTTCTGACCCTAAAATGTATGGTCTATAATGAGGATTATTGTGATTAAATTATGTATTTATATCCATCCCAAGTACAGCTTCCTTAGTCAAGGAGGGTAGAAGAGCAGGAAACTTTTTTTTTTTAATTGGGTTGGTTGATGTATAAGTTCGATATGATGTGAGGGGGACTCTGCTTTGACTGATCTTATGAGACCCATCAGAGCAAGACGTCTCTTCTTCAGATGTTAGCAATAATTGACTTGCTCAGGTGGAGAAAGAGTTATACCTGGATGAGATATGAAGGGCAAGAGGTTGTGGACAGTGGAGGGGAAGATTTCTAATACACATTGAAAATTGTATGTGCTTATCCAATAGAAATACTGATTTACTACAGTGAGAGTTGGATTGGTCCCTTAATGCTATATGTGCAGAAAATTAAGCATTTGAAGTTAAACATGGATAAAGTAGCTCAGCAAGCAAATCAGCTACTGCTTCATCTTCAAAATACTTATAATTAATTTCACTAATCAACAGAACTAATGAATATGGGCCTAGAGATGTAGTTCCAAATTAAGATAAGGCTCATGAAGTTCCCCATCTGTAAAAATAAGGGCAATAATACTTTCTACCACCCTTTGTTTGTCTTGTCTATTTAGAATCTTTTTGAGGCAGTGACTGTATTTTTCTATGTCTGTAGAGCGCTATAGACACTACAGTAATATAAATTATAGTAATGTAATAATAAAGTATTGACCACATGCAAACTAGATCCACTCCCTCCCTTCTGCCAGCTAGTAAAATACTGCAGGGACTGCCTTGATGGTCTCCTGGAAGCAGGGCCGGCTCTAGGCACCAACAAACCAAGCATGGGCTTGGGGTGGCACATTTTCAAGGGCGGCATTCTGGCCGTCCTTTTTCTTTTTCTTTTTTTGCTTCGGGCGGCAAAAGCCTAGAGTGGGCCCTGGCAGCAGCAGCATGTCACCCTGGGCCTGCTGCGGTTCACGCAGTGGGGGAGCAATGCCCACACCTTGTGGCTGGGCCAGGCAGGCTCCTAGTGGGGGGACACTTGGGCTGGGGGCCGCCCCTCAGGGCACACGGAGCTGCCTGCAGATGCCGCAGGGTGGCCGCCCCCCAGCCCAGCGCCGCAGCCGGGACTGGGCAAAGCGGCCCGAGACGCCAGGGAGTGTGGCAGGGCAGCCAGAAGCAGCCATGGGACAATAGAGGGCGGGACGCTACCGTGCAGGGCCCGTGTCCCGCTCTCCAGGGCTCTGCTCCCTCTGGGGCTACCCTGTCCTGGCTCCTCAGCCCCTTGCCGGGGCGGTCCCCTGGCTCTGCCCTCCCGGGTCCTAGCTAGTCCTGGAGGTGGGAGCGCCGCTGCTTACCCTGACCCTGCCAGTGCCCTGGCTGGAGGCGAGGGGGGAGCGGGCGGAGTCAGCACTGGGGGGGAGCCCAGCGCTGGGGTGGCAGGGGGAGCGGGTGGAGTTGGGGGGGAGAGCCCAGGGCTGGGGCGGCAGGGGGTGCTGGCAGGGTTGGGGGGACAGCCCAGGGGTGAGGTGAGGTGAGGGGGCAGCCAAAATTTTTTTTGCTTGGGACGGCAAAAAAACCTAGAGCCGGCCCTGCCTGGAAGACATTGTTAATGACTCTTCCAGAGGAAAAATTACCATCAGCGCTCAAACACTTTAGTCAGACCTCTGGTCAAAAAATCTGTTCTAGACACAAGCATCTTAGCCAACTACTGCCTGGTTGAGATAATTTCTGGGAAAGATAAATGAGAAGTTGTTGGCATCATCACAAACAGCTAACAACTCATCTACCTGGACATCACTTAGGGCTGGTCCCCACTTAGTCCGGACTTCGGACTAAGGTACGCAAATTCAGCTACGTTAATAACG